TTGAAGGAGTTGCCGGGGGACGGCCCGCATGATCACTGCAAACAGCTTGGCGCGCAGGTTCATGTCCATGGCTGGCAGCTTCTGCAGAGCGTCCGCGGGAAGTCCGTAACTCTGTCCCGTCTGCATGCGAGCGTCGCCGCTGGCACCTGCTCCTCCTCCGCCGCTGCCTCCAGGGCCCCGCTGACGTCGCGCGGGTTGGGAAGGCGCCGCGGGCGTGGGAACCCCGCCTGCGGGCTGACTGCGTCGCCGCGACCTGCCGTCTCCACGCGCGCGGGAAGCGCGCGCCGAGCCAGAGCGGCCTCTACGCGAGCCGCGCTGCCCCCCGCGCGACCGTGGACGACGCGCCGCCGCCTCGAGCGCCTCCGCCCCCAGGCAAAAACATCAGGCTCTCGACGAGTGAGTGGTGCACGTGGTGAATGCCGACAAATATGGCGACACAGCATTGCTCGATCCTCGAGCGGCCCGGCATGGTAAGAGCAGACCGCGTGCGCTCCGATACTCTGGCCTCCAAACACCGCCACTCGAGTCAGGTCAGCAAGGGGGCAACGCAGTCTCTCGAGGGTCCTGAACAGGATGGTTGAAGGCCGCGGTATTCGGGGGCACGGACTTCTGATGACGGCCTGGACAGCATGTTCTTGAGCGGTTCGTCGGGTGCGGAACCTCTGGTCACAGAGTATACACTCGCTAGTGACAGTGACGGAGTGGGCGACCGACCTACATGAGTGACCCCCTCCCCTGGCAAGCCTTTGATGCGCCAGGAACGCCCTCTTAGTAGTAAGGGCCCGTCCGCAGGTCATCCCTTTAGCGCTCTCCAGTGCACGCCACCAGGTAGCTGACGGTGGCGGGGGCACCTCGGGAGCACCTTCAGGAGCCCATGGGGGATCAGGAGAAGGACCATATAACCCACAAGCGGTGGAATCGGCACAGTCTTCGTCTCCACCCGTAGAAGCCCAAGATCCAACGCCAGGCGCTGCCCCCTCAGATCCCCGCCCATGAAGAGAGCACGCGCAAAGAGCCTCATGCGGGGCACCTCCGAGGGACCAGTGAAGAGCCAGGATTCGAGCAACTCGGCCTCGGACTTCTGTGACAAGATCAGGATGTCGGACGCGCAGCGTTTGGCGCGCGGGTTCGCACTCGCGCGCACCCGGCCCTGTTCGCACAAAGTGGCATGACAGTCTATCGGCAACTGTCCAAAGATCGCTCCACTCCCCTGAGGGTGACGCTCTGGATGATGAGCCCAGCGCCGATGCTGCCTCAATCTCCCGACTCGAAGCTTAGCCCCCGCAGGGCGCGCGCCAACTCGACGGAAGGTCACGACATCGATGAGGGCCCGATATCAAACGACAGGCTTACCTTGTTCATCTAAGACGGCATCGCCCTCCTCATCCTTGCCCTCCATTTTAGCGGGCGCATCTCCTCTCAGGAGCTTACGAGTGAGGCCGATGGGCGCACGGTCGAGACGCGACGTCTGAGCCTCGGACGCGGCGAGGGCGGCAAGCCCCGACAGCAACGCCCCCTGCACCGCCGCCCCGAAGACAATGCGAGTGATCTTCCATACTCGACTCTTGATAAGAATCGCCCCATGGAGTAGCATCCACTACGGCGCGCTAGGATGCGCCGCTGCAACTCACCTTGCACTCCCCCGTTCGCCGCCGTCTGAATACCCAGCGCAACATTGTCAAACTGCACCTGCCCTGGAGGCCGGATAGCACCCCCGAACACCGCGGCGCCGTGCTCTTTGGCCCTGGGTCCGACGGAGGAGGGGGGCGCAGCTTCCGCCGACCTTGTGAGAACATCTATCGGACGATAGTGGGCGCTCAAGTGCACGCGCGACTGCTCAGGTGCGAGCTGGGAGTTTTTGGCCGACGCCGCCACATGTGTCATATTGGTGTCGTCGGCGTAGGTGCGGCGCGAGAGGTCCGCGGGCCGTTGCGGGATGGGCACGCGCGCCGTGCGCAGGGCCTCGCTCGGCCACGAAGTCCGATCAGGGTCGGCAGGGGGGGGGGGGGGGGCGGCGGCGCGGGCTCCTGGCCCGCCCACTCCGCATATGTCCGCGGGCGCTCACAAAGAAGATCAAGCCGCTGCTGCACTGGCTTCCGAAAAGGCCCCGGCAAAGAACACCGCCGCGGGCGCGTCGCCCATGGGCGCCCCGCGCACATTATGCATCGGCTGCTCGCCGGCCGTCCGCACCACAGATGGTGAAAGTGCTCGTCTCGCGCCTCTGTTGAAAGTAGCACTGGGAGTCGGGCTGACGTCGCCGCTGGGCGCAGGGCAGGGAACGGCGAGCAGCCAAAAGCATTCGCCATGTCCTCCTTGGAGGTGACCGTCGACGCCCCCAAAGAGCGCAATCTCGATAACAACGCCCCCTGAAAGGTGAAAGCTCCCTCCCGACCCCGCCCAGCATGATGCCCATGCCCTCGACCAGGCGCGTCGCCTGGAAATCCACTCGTCAGCTCCACCTCGTACCGCAGCGCGCGCGCGCGACATAGTCCGCGCATCTAGCGTCGCGCAGCGGGGCCGCCCTTGTTGCCGTGCTTGTCCAAGTCTGTCGCCCGCGAGTGGCGCCATGCAACGAGCGTCCGCTGCGCGCGTCGAAGGCGATGAAAGACTTCCTGCAAGGCCTTCAGACTCAGCTCGTTCGATGCTGCAGCAGCCTCGGCACCAAGTCCTCGCCTGGGGGTCAGGCTTATCTGCCTCCTCGTCTTCGTCGTTTCGGCACCTGCGCGGCTTTCGGTAAGCGCCGTCAAACCTTCTCGAGGGATCCGGAACCAATGCGGTGATTTCCGACGGGGCAGCCCGCAGCTGCCTCGCGACGATGCGCCCTGGCAGCAAGCTCGGCAACAGCAGCAAGATCGTCTCGGCCAAGTCCCACGCGCCGAAAGTTGCCACTGGCGAGCGTCGGGGGCCGAGGTAGAGCCTAGAGGAGACGTGCTTGATATTCATCGAAGGGCACAGGCACCGCTGCGAAGCCTCCTGCGTGTCCCGGACCGCTGAAGTGCTCGCGAATATCCTCCATCCTCGGTGCGAGGGTCTCCGCGACATTGAAAAGTCGTCGTCGCGGTCCCGAGCACCGTCCAGCAAGCTCGTGGGCCAGCCGCCACACCTCCGCATGTTGCCTCGATCCCCACGCCGAAATCAGCTCCTCAACCAGCTGCTCAGTTACAGACTCCTGATGGGCACGTCGAAGGTCGCGGAGCTCGCGACTGCATCGCGCCAGCAACAGCCCCGTCTCAAGATATCCCGTGCCTCGCTCTCGCGTCTGTCGCCGCTCTTGGAGCAGCTGACTGCAAACTCGCTGATACTAGACAATCTTCGGGTCCTGCACGCTCTTCTTCGAGAAGTGCCGCTCCGCCGTGTCGTAGACCGTGGTCGCCCGCCTTATCCATCCAGCATCGGTGGAGCTGTCGTTCAGCATGAGATCATGAAAATCAGGAGCCGCGCCGTACTGAGTCTCCAAGTCTGCCGGAAACTCAAAGACCCCAACTCCTTGCCTCAGCGCATTTGCTAATGTGCCGAAGTCCAAACGCGTGGCGGTTATCTTCGAAGAACTCAGATCGAACTCGTATCTGAACTTAACCCGGATCGGCACACGATCAGACAGTCCTCGTCGGCTGCCAAAATTGAGTCGGAGGCTGGTGCGTCTCATCGCCCCGCATAACGTATCCGTCGGCATCTGCCAACTGAAGACTGCGACCTCGTCGATGCAATCCGACGGGTGGGCTCCAAAAAAGGTGCCGCCTATACTGTAGCATGTCGCCGATCTGGCCACCGAGTGCTTCTTACACAGCTCTAGCATCTGGTCGGCCGCATCGTGTTGTTCCCCTCTAACGAACGGCCCCAAGGAGCAGGCGCGAGCCCAGTCTATGATGCCACCCCGCCTTCGTGTCCATCCGAACGAATCATTCATATCGATCCCCACGCGAGCGCTTTTCCAGCCACCGGATTAGAAGGTCCACCTTCGCCCGATACCGAGACTGTGCCGTTGCCGCCGCGAGCACATGAGATGTTCGACCCTCCCGTCTCGAGCTCGGACGAGGTGCGCCCGTGAAGAGAAGCACGGGCACTAGGCACATCATACACATGTCGCCTCTTGAACACCCTCCTCCTCAGCAGCAGCGCGATCCCACATGATTTGTTGACGTGTCTGCTCGCACCTCAGCCGCACCTGACAACGAAATCCTCCTTCAAGTTCGAGAACACAAGCGAGCGATCAGGTGTCGCTCGTTCACCAGTACTTGTGACTGCCACCACATCTGTGAATTGAAACTTCTCTGAGAACTCGTGCAACCGCTCGATGTCTGCTGTGCGTTCCAGTGGACGAACGTGATCATACACAGGATGCCAACCGCCGCACTCGGCCGCACGAGAGGCGAGAAACAACTCATCGTACGAACATATGATGTAAGGAGTGGGCGAGACGGCAGCCTGCGGGAGGGGCCTGCCGCACCGTATGTTGCCTGCGACGGACGCGGCACCCTCCAGCCCCTGGAGCGGCAACTCCTGAGCAGAGGGGGCTAGGAGGAGGAGGAGGAGGAGGAGGAGGAGGAGGAGGAGGAGGAGGAGGAGGAGGAGGAGGAGGAGGAGGCGCGCGGCAGCGGGGGGTCTGGCGCCAACAAAGAGAATCTGCGCAGACCTCCGACATTTTCTGTTCTTGAGCATTTGAAGTGCTGCGCTTCGACTCCTGGCGCGTCTTTGCATGACGGAGTCCGCCTGTGCTGGGCACGGCGACCGGGGCCTCGCGGCCAACGTCGATCGCTGCGGGTGTCCCCCGTGACCCTGGGATCGCCTCGGGATCTGTTACTTCGACCAGGACGGCTGGTCGATTCGATCGACCCCCTGGCTGGAGCTCACTCGGAGCCGAGCCAGCTGCCTCAGCGGCACACGTGCTGTACTCAAACCCCGTGGCCTTCGTAGTCTCTCCTGCCGTGTGACTTCGACCGTGGCCGGACAGACCACACGCTGAGCGCCGCGGTGCGCGCTCGCGCGATTCTCTCCGCGCCCTCGAGCCCTCGCACCGCCCCCTCGGAGAAGAGCAGCCGCTCGGGCCCAAGCCGCGACGCGCGAAGCGCGAGCAGTTTCGCGCCCCCCGCGGGTGACCTCGAAGCCAGCAGCCACCCGCTCGACGCCCTGCCGAGGGCCTCTCTGCAGATCAGAGAGCACCAGCAGACTGTTCGTGAGGGAGGGGAGGATCAGAGAGCCAACCCGGCCCGAGGTCCGCAGGACGAAGTCGACAGAGGGCTCCTCCCCTGAGAGGAGGAGGAGTCCTGAGGAGCGGAAGGAGGCGAGAGCGGGTGCAGGGCACACACTTTGGGGGGCCCGCAGGGCGCCCGACGTCGCAGGGTTGGACAGGTAGTCGCAGCCATCGGCGCTGAAGCAGCTGGCGGGCGCCTCGGCGCGGCACTGCCGCGCGTCGCGTAGGAACGCCGCCCGCGCCGCGTCCACGTCCTCCACGATCCTGTGAAGGGGAGGCGCTCCCAGGCGTGCTCGTGCCGCGGAGAAATCGCGACGGGAAGTTGTTGGCTGGTTGCGGCCTCAGGAGCCTTGGCCCGGCCCTGGGACTGTCCAAACACGACTCGGGATGAAAAAACGACCCCAGGAAAAGTGTCGGGGCTTCCAGGGACCCCGAGTTCAAACAACAAATCAAGGTGTCGGATGTCTGGGTGAAGGGCTAACCGCCTCAGGGGAGGGACACATCGACCTGGAATCGGCGATACATCGCCAACAGATCGGCGATATACCGCGGCAGTGAATCCGCATGTTCCTGGGCGGGAAGGGCTACATCAGGCTCCTATCGGCGACGAATGGGCGACCGGGGGTCGATACGTTCCGTCACCGAGCCTAGTGCGGGCGCGGCCGCAAGAAACCCAACCCTGAGAACCCGTGCGCGAGGTCCACCTGGGGGAAACCCGGAGCACCCTGAACGCAGCAGCTCCTTCCACGGCTGCGGGAACTCACCGCGCAGCGCGAGGGGCGAAGAAACCCTGGATACCCTGACGAAGAGCACATGGTTTCTCGATGCGCGCCCCCACTGTATCCCCCCCGATCGCTGCCCCCGATCCTGTGGGGGTAGGAGCCGGGCCCCTCTCCGCCCAGCGCCACCTGCGGGGCACGGGCGCGAGGGAGCGGCAGCGCTGCAGGGGAGGGGCGAAGGGCGCAGAGTCCAGCCGGAAGTCGGGCGGACGACTGCCGGCCTCTGGCGGCCACGCGTGCGAGATGGCGTCCACGCGCGCCTCTCGGACGCGTGGCACTTTGCTCGCCAGTGGGCGGAATCCGTCGGCCGTTCCGACGGCAGAGAACTTGCTCCAGGTGCTCCGGGCCCTGAGGTTGTGCCCAAGGGGGCCACAGCAGAACATATTGCAGCGGAGCTTGCTCCTGGTCTTACAGTCAGCACATTGTGTGAAGAGTTGAGGGGCCTCGGGCGCCAGCTGTGCCCGTCCCAAGCACCTGAGACACGTGCATCTGCACGAAATGCTTATTCCTCCAAACATAAAAAAACAGATGGGTAGGCCGAGGAGTAGGCAGCCCCATGTGAACCCTACCCCTGCAGTTCAGCTTTCAGATCAACTACGGCGAGGGCATTGGACAAGGAAACCTTCGATAAGGAATCCAGGGTCTGGAAACCAGTGGAAAGCCAATCGTGGATTGGGCATGGATATCACTGCCGCCCTCATCAGATAAGGAAGCCTCCTGGGCCTGAAGCCTCCTGGGCACGTTCCTTAACAAACGCCCCCACCGTAGCTGGGGGTCAGAATTTGAAGGACGTTTGCAGCCGAGTGAGCATCACCGGGAGTGTGTCCGATCGATCCCCCAGCGTCGAACGGACCCGTCGGGGTTGGTTCGCAAGGGGTTGCACATCCACGCCGCCTGCCTCTCCCCGATTTGCCCAGCCCTGCGCTGACCCCTGCGGCCGCGAGCGCCGCGGCGGGGGCGGCCCAGGGCTGGTGGATGTGCTCGCGGCGCAGCCGCGCGAGCTCCGGAACCCACCTTACGCAGAAGGCATCAGTGGACTACCGCCCATGCCTGGCCAGGACCACCCTGGGCCCTGGCATGGCGCAGAAGCCCTCCTGGCCAGGGCCAGAAGGCTCTTTGCACCGAACTTGGGCCAGGATGGCCCTGGCCAGCCATGGCGGTGGTACACAGATGCCGTCTGCGGACGCGCCTGCGCACATACTCCCCGTTGGGGTCCGCGCTCTTCGCGTGCCTTACCGGGTGGCAGTCTATCTTCACGAGCCACTGCGACACGCCCGCGAGGCCCTGGTGCTGCCACATCATGGAGTTGATGGCCAGGTCGCTGTCGACCAGGGCAGCATGGAACCACTCCTCCCCGTCGCGCCAGTCGGCCCCGAGCGTCTCCACCAGGAACTGCCCGACGGTGTGCCTGAGGTTCTGCTGCAGGTAGCCCGTGGCCTTCAGCTCTCGCATGGCGGCGTCCACCAGCGGGTAGCCCGTCCTGCCCAGGCGCCATGCCTCCACCGCGGGGGCCGACCCGCGCGCCCGCCAGCGCATCTCCTGGTAGGCGGGCCGCATGGGCACCTCTGGCAGGGCGGGCCAGTGGCGCAGCATCCAGTAGGCGTAGTCCCGCCAGGCGCAGCGGCGGAGCCACTTGCGCGCCTGGTCGGAGCTCCGGTCCACCTGCGCACGGAGACAGCTCTGAAGAAGAGCCGTCTGACATTCCAGGCCCTGCACAGGGACCAGAGCAGTACAATTTGCAGCCACAGCAGTGTCGAGCTTCGAAAGGCAACACCCCTCTGGCGCCGACTGTACCCCATCGTTTCCCTTTCGCCCGCCGAGGACCCCACCTTTCGGCAACCGCATGTGGACCCTACCCCTGCAGGTCAATTGTTTGAAAAGACGGTTATGGTTCAGAATTTGAGGGCTGTGGGCAGACATATGAACCACATCAGGGGTTTCGTCACCCCGGCGTCAATTGGACCCGTCGGGGTGGGGTCCGCAAATGGTCCCAGAACCCTCCAATCCGCAAGGGGCCCGCTTACATTTTCGAGCTCGGCAATGACCGAAACGCCCCGCTCCAGAAACCTTGAATCCAAACATGCTGTCGTCGCTATAGGGGATATCTGACTTGCGTGGGCCCACGCCAGCGGACGTCGCCACCTTTTCGCGTCCGCTGGCCCTTTCGCCACCTTCCGCCGCAAAAGAGAAGTCAACCTCCTGATCCCTCGAACGCGAGGCCCTTTCTGGAACGCCCAGGGTGTGGACAGCGCGTGGCCCATCGTGCACTGCCGAGGTGGGCAAGGGGGCCACTTCCCTGCCGAACTCGGGGAACCGTAGAGGTGTGTACCAGATTCGCTAGTCCCCGGGATTCTCCCAAAATGCGTTCTGACCACAGATCTTGGAGAAGAGCCATGCCGTGACGACGAGGGCCTTCCAGGGCGCGCAGCGGTATCGGTATCAGTTCCTCGGGTGAGAGAGCCTCCCAGTAAGCGTCGACCATGGACAGCAGCCCCAGACGGAAGTAGGGCGAGAGCCGGGACTCCTCTTGGGAAACCTCAAGGTATGGATGCCGCCACTCCCCAGACCTCTGCTGGGGTGCGTTCTGACCAGAAGTTCGAAGCGAATCCAGCGGTGGCGACGAGGGCCTCCCAGGAGGCCCCTGAAAAAGGAAAGCGAGGGAAGGGCAGCGGTAAGGGTATGTACCCTTTCCTCCTCGGATCCTTGGCCTTGGGCCCGGCGTCCCGAGTGATGGAGCCCCTGTAGCGGCCCAGGCCTCCCTCGGCCTCCTGGAACTCGGCCAGGGCACGGCGCGCACCCTCCTCCGTCAGGTCCCAGTGCTCCGCGAGAGCCTCGGCATCCTCGGGCGGGCCGAGTGCTCGGAAGAGGATCTTGAGGGAACAGGGGCCTGAGGTTCTTCGCCGTTTCCGAGCCCCAGGACTATGGAGGAGGAGGAGAAGAGGAAGGAGGAGAAGGAGGAGAAGGAGGAGGAGGGGGAGGAGGAGGAGCAAGAGGAGCAAGAGGAGGTGGAGGAGGAGGAGGAGGAGGAGGAGGAGGAGGAGGAACAACGGTGGACACGCCGACTTGCGGGGACAAACAGAATCAAAGTGGTGCCCGCCGCAGTGGCCCGCCCCGATGGCCACTCCTGAGGGCGTGAACAGACAGTGCGAGAGCTGATTGGCGGCTTCCACCGACGGGAGGGCGACAACTGCGTGCACCTGAACCGATCCTCGCCGTGCCCACCCGGATCGAGGCATGCGCCCACCTCGGCAAGAACTCGGCCTGGCCAAAAGATCGGTGTGGGAGGATGGTTGGCGCGCTCAGGCCCGGAGGCGACACAAGTCGGAATCTAACCTTCATAGGGGCTTCCAACCGATTACGGCAGGTTCGTGTCGTGCCGACCCCAGCGTTGGTTTTTGACACCGCGGGGATCGTTCAACCTTGAACGATCGGCCGCTGCCGCAACGTCCGATCGTTCAACATCGATCGATTCTGGGTCGCCGGCGGCGTTCAACCTTGAACGTCCGCGCTGGGGTCGCCGCTGGTCGACACGACGCAAACCTACCGTAGGGAGCGAAAGAGCATCACCACCAACCCCCGGGCCCCCGCTCACCAGAGGGGAGGGGCGAGGCGGGGGTGGGATATACCTGTCATGTCCTCTCTGGGGTCGGGGGACGAAGCTCGGTCGCCTGGCCCCAGAGGAGGAAAGGGGAACCCAGGTGGGAGTTGAGGTGGGATGCACAAAGACATACTAAAACTATATGTTATCCTTGGAGGCGCGCGTCCGACCCGGACATATAGTACACCCATCTTGTAGTATATCGTTTCCCGAGCGGTGTGGCCAGAAAGCGCCCGCCACGACGCATATACTGTAAGATTTCTCGGTGCGCGCGTCGCCCCCAGGGGGGCGACGCACATATAGTATAAGTATGTTGGGGTGACGCCGATGAGGTGCGTTCCCAGATATGCGATGCCCTGGTTCTTTCAATACGGCCCCCCAGAAATACCGACTCGTTCCCCGGGGCTGGATGTTCATCCCGGGTTGTGCTTGACGGAACGGGGGCCATGCGAGGGCCCTCGGATGCCGAAAGCGGCCAATGGGAACACTGCCGTGACTTGGTGAGCATGTGTGGGCGATCCTCCAGCAGCGGCCGCCCTGTGATGCGCGACACCGGCGCTGGCCCCTCGAAGGGCCAGACGGGGTCCGCGGTGCCTGCGAACGGCTCGCCCGAGCGCGAGCCCGCGGCCGCTGCGCAGGACCTCGCGGGCTCTCTGCTTGCGCCCCTAGGGCTGCGGCGCGCCCCCCCCCCCCCCCCACGCGATGCTCGTGGGCGGGGGACATCTACTGGATGCTCCCCGCGGACTGGCAGGACCGAGCCGGGCAGCGATGTAAACCGGACCGGGCGAACCGACCCGAAGGCGCGCCGCACCGGACGGAACCGAACTGAACAGGGGCCATCAAGATCTAGGACGGAGCCAAGATTGGCAAGGCTTCGGGTTGTGCGCAGGCAGCCCCCCCAAGTAGTCCTAGCCGGCCTGAACAGGCCCCCCGAATAGTCCGGGGTGGTCTCAACACCCTGGGCGCCGCCTGCGGCGGCGCGCTCCGCGCCCCAGGCTTGAGGTGTTGAGACCGCCCCAGACTACACGGGGGGCCTTTTGAGGACAGCTGGGACTACCTGTGGGGGCTGTCTGTGCGCATCTACCTGGCCTACCTGGCAGGATGAAGGCAACTCCGGCTCTGGGTGGGTGTCAACGGAGCTCTCTCAGACACGCGGGTCTGGAGGACGTACCTGGCGCCGTGGTCGGTCCAGGTCGCCGCAGAACGCTCTGGGAGCGTTCCACAACGCTCTGGAACGACTTATCCTGATCCTATGCCTGCCTGCCTCTGGTACGGCCGCAATCCCACGCATGCACGGCGACTTGGCGCGGATGCCCTTCGTATGTAGCCAGGCTGCTAGGGAATGGAATCTGAGATTGACATGTTCGCCGCTCGTGACATCCCACCTCCTCTGGTGACGGCATCTGCCGCTCTGGAAGCCCTGCGCACAAAGAGACAGCTCGGGGGCGCATCGATCGGGTGTTGCCAGAAGCGCCCCTGCTCCGAAGTCCCCCCAGGATTCCCGACGGGGGCCTCCGCGGGCACCCCTCACGAGGCCTCCTGGGGCCCCCGGGGGGGCTCCATCGTGGAGCGGGAAGCCGGGGACACCTCCAGCCACCCCCGAACCGATGCCTCCTGGCAAGTTCTGCTGGCCTTCCGCCGGCGTTCCGTCCGCGGAGCCAGCCTACAATTAGAGGCCTGGGAATGGGCACCAACACCAACACAGGGGGGTGCCTCCACAGGGGGGAGCTGATCCTAGATTTCGGCGTTGGTGGTAATATTCCGGTCACCCTCGAAGCCAGAAAATGACCACCATCCCCGAGATCGGGGATGTCTTCCCTCGGGGGAAGAACACCGCCGATATTGGTGTTGGTGTCGACCTCTAGGCCTGCGATACAATTCTGTGCCCGCCGGCTTTCGGGGATCTTCTGACCCGGGTCAACCCAGACCCGGGTCAGCCAGGGCTTGCAGAATCCTGCAAGATCCTGCAAGACCCTGCACCCAAACCCGGGTCAATGCGAAGGATCCTGCAAGATCCTGCAGGATCCTGCACCCAAACCCGGGTCAATGCGACCCTGCCCCTGCAGGATCCTGCAAGATCCGGCGCTCTGGCTGACCCCCGTTTGCATTGACCCCCGTCTCAAAGCTCCCGAGGCTTCCGCAAAGCCCCTCCGCCGGCTTCGCCGCCGTGGGCCGGGGGGGCCACCGCCCGAGCGCTCCCTCGAAGGGCCGCGCGCGCCCCCCGCTCGGAGAGAAACCCGTCGCGCGAGCGGGAGGCTCCCAGGGAGGCTCCCGAGGCGAGTCTCTTCGCCCGGCGCGCGCGAGCGGGGCCCTCCTCCCTCCTCCCTCCTCCCTCCCCCCTCCTCCCTCCTCCCTCCCCCCCCCTCCTCCTCCTCCTCCCCTCCTCCTCCTCCTCTCCTCCTCCTCCTCCTCCTCCTCCTCCTCCTCCCTCCTCTCCTCCCTCCTCCTCCTCCTCCTCCTCCTCCTCCTCCTCCTCCTCCTCCTCCTCCTCCTCCTCCTCCTCCTCCTCCTCCCCCGGCGCGCGGCCGCAACGTGCGTGGAGGCGCCCGGACCGGGCACGCGCGAAGCTGGACTACGGACCCAGACCCCCTCGGGTCATGAAATTACCCCAGTGCGACCCTGCCTAGAAGTTGGAGCCCCTGGGAAAGCAGCATTCGTTGCTATGCTATGCTATGCTGTGCTATGCCACGCTGCGCTATGCTATGCTATGTCATGCTGCGCTATGCTATGCTATGCTATGCTATGGCATTGCATGATATGCTATGCTGCGCTATGCTATAATATGCTATGACATGCTATGCTATGCTATGATATGCTATGTCATGCTGCGCTATGCTATGCTAAGCTAAGCTATGATATGCTATGCTAAACTGCGCTATGCTGCGCTATGCTATGCTGTGCTATGCTATGCGATGCTATGCTATGCTGCGCTGTGCTATGCTATGCTATGCCATGCAATGCTATGCTGCGCTATGCTATGCTAAGCTATGCTATGATGCGCTGCGCTATGCTATGCTATGTTGTGCTCTGCTACGTTAAAGCTCAGCGAAGCTAAGATGAAGGTAAGCTAAGCTAAGATACACCTGGGCTAAGATGAAGCTAAGCTACGTTGAGATGAAATAAGCTAAGCTAAGATGAGATAAGCAACGCTAAGCTAAGGGGACGTCACTGGGGGAACCGCGGGGCGGATCCTGGGGGAACCGCCCGGGGCGATATCCACTGCCAGGCCCCTGCAAGCTAACACAGTAAGAACCCTTCTAGGCAGAGCCTAGGCAGGGAAAAACCATGACGGGAGGTTTTGCGCTAAGTTTTCGGCCTCTGGGGGCCCTTACCGGCCCTCGGGACAGTCAAAAGACGACGTAGGATGAAAAGCCGGTCCAGAGGAATGGGTCGAGACCTCCAGAGGTCGACGTGATGAAAAAATCATGACGTCGGGGGTCTGTGGACCCATACGTACCCCCAGAAGAGGTCGTGCAGCAGCTATAGGGCAGTAAGTCTTCGCCCCACGCCAGGCTATTCTCGCCGGCGTGGCAGCGCGAGCCACCGCACCTCCTGGTCGGACCCAGGGACGGGCCGCCAAAAAAAAGCGCAGGTGGACCCGTGGATCTGGCGCGTAGGTTTATGTCGGGCTTGTCCCCCTTACAGGGGGATGTTCGACGAAAAATAAAAAATACCAAAGAAATCGACAAAAAAAATTCCAAAAATAGTCTGGGGACGATTTGTTGAATATTTGTTTTACCTTTTTGGTGTATGTTTGGGGTATTTTTGATTTTTCGTCGGAAATCCTCCTGTAGGGGGACACGCCCGACATAAGCGTAGGTGTCAGATCCACGGATCGGGGAAGTGCCCCCCCCCCACCCCACCACCGAAGCAAGGCGCCAGTACAGACCGATGTTATGTCGGGCGTGTCCCCCTACAGGGGGATTTTCGACGAAAAATAAAAAATACCCCAAAAATATCCCAAAGAGGTCAGATAATACTCAAAAAAATAATCCCCAGATTATTTTTGGAGTATTGTTTGACTGTTTTGTTGTTTTTTCCCTACCTAGGCTCTGCCTAGAAGGGTTCTTACTATTAGGCTTAAAGAGCCGGGCAGTGGAACCCGCCCCAGGCGGTTCCCCCGGCATCCGCCCCGCGGTTCCCCCAGTGACGTCCCCTTAGCTTAGCGTTGCTTATCTCATCTTAGCTTAGCTTATTTCATCTCAACGTAGCTTAGCTTCATCTTAGCTCAGGTGTATCTTAGCTTAGCTTACCTTCATCTTAGCTTCGTTGAGCTTTAGCATGGCAGAGCACAGCATAGCATAGCATAGCTTAGCATAGCGCAGCATCGCATATCATAGCATGGGTGTAATGTCATCTTAGCTTAGCTTAGCTCCATCTTAGCTCAGGTTTATCTTAGCTTAGCTGACCTTCATCTTAGCTTCGCTGAGCTTTAGCATGGCAGAGCACAGCATAGCATAGCGTATCATAGCATAGCGCAGCACAGCATATCATAGCAGGGCCCAGCATAGCATAGCATAGCGCAGCAAAGCATAGCATAACATAGCGCAGCACAGCACGGCATAGCACAGCATAACATAGCATAGCATAGCATAGCAGAGCGCAGCATATCATAGCATAGCATAGCATAGCATAGCATATCACAGCATAGCATAGCATGGCATAGCGCAGCTTAGCATAGCATAGCGTAGCATGCCATATCATAGTTTAGCATCGCATACCGCAGGATTGCATAGCATAGCTTAGCATAGCATAGCATAGCGCAGCACAGCACATCATAGCCCAGCGCAGCCCAGCATTGCATAGCATAGCATAGCATAGCATAGCAACCAATGCTGCTTTCCTAGGGGCTCCAACCTCTAGGCAGGGTCGCACTGGGGTATTTTTGTTTGTCGTCGAAAATCCCCCTGTAGGGGGGCAGGCCCGACTTAAGACGGCTTTGGCGACGGAGCGCGCCGATCTCGACAGGGAAGGCGGGGCCCGTCCTCACACGTGGGCCCCTGTGCATGCTTGCGCTTTTTGTGACAGGGTGCCTACAGGGCAGTTTTTAATACATGTTTTTGGAATATACGATTTCAATACATGGTTAATGTATGAATAAGTTTATGCATGAACTCATCGTTGCGTTTACTATTAAATCCCTGCATTTGTAATACATGATCAGCACGCGGAGCATGTATAAAAAAACGGCACTGTACGCATGCGCATACGCAGGACTTCCCCGAGGGCCACGCCAGTGGCCTCTCTACGAGAATCACACATCCTTGCGGCCAATGTCTGCGTCAAATGCCTGACGGGAGGTACTCCCTTCCACCGCCATTTCAAGAGAGCATCCGCACTCGGGGAGTCGCGCTGCTGCTTAGGTGGGTGTTCGGCGCCAGGGGGACCTGGGAGCAGGCAGCGCGCGCCGTATCTCGCCGCCCTTGTGCCAGCCGTCCCAGAACGCCTTGAACACGTGCATCCCTCTGCCCACGGCTGCGAAGACGACGGGAGGCCCCCAAAACCTCCAGACTGGGAGGCCTGTGCCTCCACTTCCAGGGCCGTCGGCCAACAGCGGACGCGAACGAAAGCAGAGGACATCCGAGGGGACCGCGAGACTCATTCAATGGGAGCAGCATGGCACGAGCAAGCCAGATCACACGCGGCACCATTCGCATGGGGTCGAGAGGACGGCATGGCACCCTTGGCTTTGCAGGGTCGACCTGCCCATCGACCGCGACTGGGTTGGCACTTCCTGGGGGGGGGGGCTCGCAGACAGCCCTCTGGCTCAAACAGGCGCCGCTGGCCTCACAGTGCCCCCGTGGCGGCCCAGCGGCGCACCTCGGGGGCTGCTGAGCCTACTGGGGAACGCCGCAAGAGGCGGCGCTATAGGTTTTGAGACCGTCATTGGGTCATGGGTGATGTGTCCTGGGTGCCCCTGTTGAGGCCAGCCAGGACTACCCCTAGGATCCCCTCCTCTGGACGGGGCAATCATCGCCCCCCCCCCCGGGATCTCTGAGGGGGGGGGGCACGTGCTGTCGGAACGGGTGGAGGGGGGGTGGACGAGGAGCAGGAGGAGGCGGAGGAGGGGGAGGAGGAGGAGAGGTGGAGGAGGGGTGGGGATGGGCAAGCTCCGTCGGAAGGTTAGTCGCCCTCCCCTCGATTAATATCCCACCCAGAGTAGGGGCTGTGCGCCCGCAGTCTCAAGCGCTGCCAGACTGGATACTGGATGTTGAGACCCCCAGGTCCTCGGGGACGCGCTGGTCCGAGTCAGCGCAAACCCTTCTCAGCCAGGGCTGGTCGCGACCGTGGGCCAGTCACAGATCAGCTCCCAGCGACCCTACGCAAGAGTGAGCGGGCAAGAGCGAGCTGGGACCTGTGAGCAGGTCACGAGAGTGACCCTGCGTAAGGGTGGGCGGGCAAGGTTGAACCTGGGGAAGATTGACGTGTGGGGCCGCGGGGGGAGGGCCCAATCCAGGCGCTCGGGCCAATGCCGGGGGCTCGGGGGGGGGGGGGACGCCCGAGGGCCCGCACCAAAGGTCACTCCGGGGCGAATGGCCACCCGAGCGCGCAGCCGAGCCCTGGCCCGCGCCCCGAAGTCCGGAGGTCTCGGCGTGGTAATGCGTCGGGTTGCTCACAGACAACCCCCCCCATGGTAGTTCCAGCGGGCCTCCGCAAGCCCCCCCGGGGGCGGTTTCTTCCTACCCCAACCCATGGGCCGCGGGACGCCCCGGGGGCGCCGCCCGAAGCGGCGCCAGGGTGTCGAGACCACCCCCAGGACCCGCTCTTTTTGCTGTTTCTGCTGGAGCTGCAAGCGATACCTGAGGGTCCCTGGGCCCAGAACCGGCCAGAATCGCCTGTTGCGGAAAGATTGCGACGCCAGGATCTCAAGGCACCTGGGATGGGGGCTGTCTGCGCGCAGCCCGGAGCCTGACCATCTCAGCGCCTCCCGGATGGGGCAGCGCTCCGGGTCGCGGAACAGGAACGCGCCGTGCGCCTCTCACGCGCGGCGAACACGTCCGTATCCGTGCCCTCGCAGACTCCGGAGGCCGAAGATAGCGAAAACCATCCGTCGCGATTTTTCCACAACGCGAGGGGGTCTGGGTATCCGCGGGGTCGCGGCCCAGGGCCCCGGCCCGGGAGGCCGCGGATACGGGTATGCTGAAGTCGGGCCTGTCCCCCTACAGGGGGATCTGGGACGAAACATCAAAAATACTCAAACAATACCCCCCAGAAATCGTCAAAAGTAGTCAAAAGATCGTCCCCATATTTTTTTCTGCCTATTTTTGAAGGTTCCCCCTGTAGAGGAACAGGCCCGACTTGAGGGTATGCTTTTCGCCACGGGCCTCGCAGCGCAGGCCCGCCGCCCGCGCCTCGCGCTGCAGGTCGCCCTCCCGCCGCCTCTCGGCGGGCTCCTCCCGGCGGTTGAAGTGCACCGCCGCGGCGCCCACCTCTCGGAGGCGTCCAGGAGGGGGGCGCTCAAGAGGGAGGAAGAAGAAGAAGAAGAAGAAGAAGAAGAAGAAGCAGAAGCAGAAGCAGAAACAGAAGCAGAAGCAGAAGCAGAAGCAGAAGAAGCAGAAGCAGAAGCAGAAGCAGAAGAAGCGGTCTGCTGACCGGCCGCGGCGGGCTGGGCCCCTGACGGCGCACGGAAGAACGCCTGGGCAGACCGAGCGAGACGAGCGACCGGAATGTGCTCTCTTCTTCGGACCACAGGACGGGCCGACAAAGGGACGCGGGCCAGGCAAGGAACAGAGGCAGGCAGGAAAGCGAGGAGCCGAGGAGCGGAAGGGGGAAGGGGGGGGAGAGTGAAGGGGCCCTGGGTCACACAAATCAAAGGATTCCGCAAATTTTAATATATTTTCTGGGTTTTTGTCCCCCCCCCACTTCCCATACTTTCCCATCTTTTCCTGGGAGTGGGCGATTCATTGTGTCTGTGTGCTTCTTTCCCTCCTGAGAGAGGGAGGACGACGGAGGGGACAGACCGGGCCGGAAGGCGGGGGGCGCGCAGGAGGGGGATGCGCAGATCGTGGCCCGAGGCACGTGCGCGGCCTCGGGGCACGTGCCAATGGGGCGCCTTGAGAGAGGCAAGGGGGACCATGTGACGTCTGGGGAGGTGTCGCGGCCCTGGCCATGACACCCGCCCCCCTAAGAAGGGGCCCTGGGACACACAAATAAATAAATACACACACAAATAACCGGAAACCCAATATTTTCAAATGTTTTCTGTGTTTTTGTCTTCCCCCCCACTTCCCGCATTTTCCCATATTCTCTGGTAGTCATCCCCCCCCCTCTTGGAAGCCCCCGAACATCTCAGAGGACTGGCTTGGTTGAAAGACTCGGACCAAAAACTGCGCGAACTAAACTGTCGGCGCACTGCGCGGATCCCTTGGTTTGGCGCTGACCCCCCAGGCGGCGCCTCCGGCGCCGCCCTTGGCGGGCGTTGCGCGCGCCAGGGAGGGGGGGCAGCGCCGAGGAAAGAAAAAACCCGCCAGGCCCCGAACGATTGTGTTTATGCAGTTGCTTCTTCGTCTTCTTCTTCTTCGTCTTCTTCTTCTTCGTGCGTCCCAGAGGCCCTCAGGCCCGGGCGACGCGCAACCAAAACCTGACGGCGTCGGGGCCGCCTGGGGGCGGCCGCCCCGCCCCAGGACCGTCCACAAGGCGACGCGAACCAACGCAAAGGCCCTGGGAAGGGGGCCGAGATCCCCTGGGGCCCGCGTAAAGGAGCAGTGGCGACGTCAGAGCGACGTCAGAGGAGGGGAGAGGGGATTCCCAAATGGTCTTGCATCGTCCCATGGGCGCGCGTCTGCTCTGGGGCCGCCGCAGAAGTTTTCCGTCGGGGGAGTCAGCAGCAGGGGGAGGTCAGCCAAGGAAGCTGGCGCGGCAGAGTTTTTGGTGAGAATCGCCGTACGCAAGGAAGGCACAGTGTACTAGCTCGTGAGCCCCGAACCCACTTCAAAATCACCATGGCCTGGGCCCTGTGGGCGCACGGACAAACTAAGATTCGGGCCAACATCTTGCTCTCATGGTCCACCCGTCAGGTGGTCGGCGTGATTGCGAGGCGATGGGCGTGGGCAGAAAGGGCAGTCAGCAGGGAGAACTCGTGCGGGCCCGCCCCGCCATGCGCGCGCGGGCACGCGCGCGGGCACCTTTCCTTTCCTTTCGCACCCCTGCTAAGCGAGCCGCTCGGGTGTTATGGTTTAGTGCTGCACTCTCCCCGCCCCTCCGCCTCACTCCTCCCCGCCTGGCAACAGCTCCTCGGCCACCATCTGCACCTTGCGGAGATCTGCTCCCGCAAAAGACCGGACCGCATTGCAAATACCCTCATATTGAACTTCTGGATTCAGCAAGTGCTCGATTAGGACTACTCCAACAACCAGCGCCACCAACTCTGCCTGGCAAGCACTCGCCACCGACAATGGCACTGTCGCCTCACACATGAGATCGTACGCCGTGTCCCCCTTGCGCCCGCCGTGCAATACCACACCTGCACAAGTGCGCCCATCGCCCCAACGGCTCCCATCGAAGTGGAGCTTCAACCGGGAACGCCCCTGGATAGCCCCGTGCTGCCGGAAGAAATACTCATGGCGATTCGCTGCCTTGTCCGCCGCCGAATTGTGCTCGCGGTAAACATGAAGACAGAAGTTATGACCCAGGGATGGCGGAAGACACAAATCCAGAGAAATCCATGTGTGGCAAGTTCCCCATAACATCTTCATCAAATTCTGATACTGCACGCATGCTGTATTCCATAAGCCATTGAACCAATTACGAACGAGCATGGTGTCGCCTATGAAAATACTCCAGGGTCCTCCTGAAACGTTGTGCAGATCAGTCATCATCTCGGTCGGCATATTCGGCAATGGGGCGACCCTCTTACGCTTGGTCGGCGGGGCGGCTTGCAGTGAACGGCGCCTACAGCTCTCTGGAATCTTCATGTTGTAGCTCTGGCACACGGAGTTCCTGAACGCATCGTATTTGCCTGGCCACGTCGGCGCGGCGGCCTCCATACACCAGTCCACTCCCACATGCTTCACAAATGCATCCTCCCATCGAGCCGATGGGCGCCCTGGCCGGGCATGGCGCGCTCCGGTATGCCGCGTGCGTTTCGGGCCTGACGGGTTCACCGCCTGACACCCCTGCCACCATAGTGTGCTCCTCCATTGCAATCTTTGGGGCAGTAGCCGAAGTGTCGGTTTGGACGACTGGCGATGCTGCATCTCCCCTGCCATGCGCCACTCGCTCCGCATCACCGCTGTTGGCAACGTATCTGGCGAAGTGTCCAGCAAGGCTTGCTGGGCAATGCGGGTGGAGCGCCGCTGGCGCGCTACAAACGTCTCGCCCGGCCTCCGCCCTCGACGCAACATCCTACGGAGCAACATATTCTCCCATGATTTCGTTCGGAGGAGCATGATTTTGGTGCCTATCCAGCAGCCTGCAGTGAATAGAGCAACTGACCTGACCTTGCGTACGTATGCCTTCATCCGGTAACGTAAAGGAAGATGCTTGTCTAGCAGAACCCGCGCGTGCTTCCAGAAAGACCCTGTCGCTTTGCGAAGCCTGTTTTCGACCATCTTGTCTGTCGTCCCATCCCTGCACACTGTTCCGCCTAACATGTCAATATGGTCGACGGCCGGCACCTCTATCTCGACGCTGTCCTGGAAAATGGGGAAAGCGAGTGCACCGACTGGCCCGTTGCTGCCCATGTACTCCAAACTGCTTGGCTTCCAGCGCAGGCCGCTTCCGTTCAAGGCACTCGTGCACTCCTGGGACATCAGGTGCGTTTCAGAAATGCTTTTCCCGAAGATGTACAAATTGTCCGACCATACGGCGTGCGTGATATAAGAGCCGTCTTCCAGGCAAACGCCAAGCCCTCGACTTTCCCCAGATTGTACCAATGGGCTTAATATTTTGCGGATGACGCAATTCCACAGAAACGGTGCATCAGACCCTCCCTGCCTCATGGACTTGTTATAGCAGAACGAATATTCAGCACGCTGTCCATCGAAGATGGGCCAAGCCTCCATGGCCGTAAGCTCCTGGAGTACCGCTGCGCCAATTGCTGGGTGCACGCCCCAAAACTCGAAGCTCTCCTCCACCGCCTGGACGGTCAAATTGTCAAACGCCGAACGCACGTCACCAGTAAAAATGTGTACCTCCACATCCCCGCTCCACTCAGTCGCTTTTTGGAACAGGCACGTCAAGGATAGCAGTAGCTGTTCCACTTTGTGCTCCGCCTCGTAAGCGAAAGTAAAGACTGAATGCCACAGACGACCGTGCCTTTTCAATATGTCCCAGCGGAGGAGTTGCAGTAGCCCGTTCATGTACCACTTCGAGAATGCGCTCAGCATGCACACGTCCCTGAATTCCGCAAGCGACGTCGCGTCCGCGACCTTCGGCAGCATTACCAAGACCAGTGTCCTCCATGAGGGAATGTCTTCAACGTATCGGCCAAGGTACCGGTCCACGAAGCACGAGTGCACCAACATCACCGCAGTTACTGATAAACTTTTCAACATCTCGCCCACGAGCTCCTCTCCTCCGCCTGGAGCCTTTCCCGGTTTCAGCCGGGATCGAGCCGAAATGGTGGTGCCGAAACTCCAACTCGGAGGCGGGCCCCCTCCCAAATGGGCCTCCTGTTGCCGGCAACGCCATCTGTGGATCCTCTGCATCTGGTGGGCCGTGGCCTCCTTCGGATCGTGGTTCTTGCCGTTGCAGTGCCGCATGACTTCGGCTTGCCACTTCTCCCGATCTGCTGTCATAGCCCCGTTGCACTCCAGCTCGATCGTCGGGTGTTTGGTTGTCTCGTCGTAGCTCGCCTCCAGGTGCATGTCTGCCTTGGCCTTGATCCTCTGGAGTTTGATTCTTCGTTCGAGCTTGCGTAATCGTTTCTTCTCGTCGGCGTCCGTGGCGCACTTTATCCTGTTGACAACATCGTGCAATTCATCCGGCCTCTGCTTGGATACTTGCTTCTTGATGCCCCTTGTCGTGTGGTCGACCTCCTTGGCCCGTTTCTCGCACGACTCCCGTATCTCATCCAAGGACGGCTCGCCGCACAGCTCACCAGGCTTGCCCCAACAATGGCTCATGTCCTCCATCACTGTCGAAGCAAACTGGACTGAGGCTGCCCCATCCTTCGGGGCCCATTGTTTCATGGAAGGCCTGTACTCCTCTCTCCTCCTCCAGAACGATCCCGGGGTGTTGATCTTGACATGCACTGGATAATGATCACTCCGAAGTATTCGTTGCTGGCCCACGTAGCTAGTGCTGGTCGCCTGCGTTGAAACCAAGACGTAATCGATTTGAGTCCCTCGCACCCGGTTCTGGCCCAGGGGAGCCCTTGTCAACCACCACTGGCGCTCGGGTTCATCAAGCCACGTGTTCACTACGCGCAATCCATACTCTGAGCATAATCCTGTCCATAACCCCACCTTCTCCATCACATCAGCACTCC